CTTCGAGCAGGGCTCTATCATTGTTCCCTGTTTAAAAAAACACCCCCTCCCCCACCCGGCCGGCAGCCAGCCCGGAACCATACGGACACCATGAGGCCCCCCCCCCACACCATCCCTTTCAAAAAACACTCCAAAACGCACTCTGCCTCCAAATTCGGAGCATGCGCAACCAACCCGATGCGGGCCCCCCCCACCATCCCTGTCCAAGAAAAATACAGAGTTACACTTTGGGGCAAAAGTCTGGAGTCGTGTTCGTGTTTTTCGACGTGGACGACGGGTTTGTCAGCATATTGCCTGCTGCGCGCAGGGCTACCATCCCTGACAAACACACAATAAAAAATACACCTCGCGGCTAAATGTGGATAGTGTGCAGCCACCCCGCGATCATTGTCAAGTGGTTCTTGTCAGGGACGGCGGAGGTGGTGGCGGATGGCCTGCTGTGCGCAGGCCCACCAGACACAATGATGGGCATTGGTTTTCGACACGGATGGTGGGGGCCGATATGTTTCCCGATGTGTGTTGTCACGTGCGCAGGCGCACCTGACACACTCTGCACGTGCCCCGGACGTGGCGCACCTGGCGCGACTGGAGGGAGCATAGAGCGCCTCGGAGAGTCCAAGATGACCTCCAAGATGGCTCAAGATGGCCCAAGATGGCTCAAGATGGCTCCCAAGATGCTCCAAGAGGCCCCAAGACCGCTCCAATACTGCTCCAAGTGGCCACGGAGTCTCCTACAGAGGCCCCCAAGAGGCCCAAATCCATAAACACCTAGAGAAAATCAATGAATGTGGCCGTCTCGCCTTTTTGCTTTCGATGGCCTTCCGAGGCCTCAGATCGCTCCAAGACGGTACAAGAGGGCCCCAAGAGAGGCCCAAGAGAGCCCCAAGGCGGCCCCAAGGGCGCTCAAGAGCGCCCCAAGAGCGCTCCAAGAGGGGTCCAAGAGGCGATTTTAGGCACGTCGAAGGGCGAGGCTGATTGAAGCGCCTTCCTTTTTTGATCGATGTCCTCCAACATGATGAGGGCCCCAAGAAGCACCCAGGAGGCCCCAGGAGGCCCCAAGATGGCCCCAGCTCCTAGATGGCACCGAGAGGCCCCCAGGAAGCCCCCAAGAGGACCCCAAGCGGCCCTAAGAGGCCCCACCGAGGCACCCAAGACGCCCCCCAGGACCGCCGAGAGACCCCCAAGACGCCCCAAGAGGCCTCCAAGAAGCGCCCAAGAGATACCCCAAGAGGATCCGAGAGGCATCCAAGAGACCTCTGGCCCTTTTGCTTGCCCTCCTCCTCCTTCCGTCCTCCTCCTAGTCCTTTTCTTATTCCTCCTCCTCCTCCTCCTCCTCATCATCATCATCATTCTATGAATCCTCCTTCTCCCCACTCCCTCATCCATCCATCCAGCCCCCTCCTTCTCCTCCTCCCTCCTTCGCACGGCTCGGCCGTCCACCTCTTTGCTCCCGCATTTCCCTGATCACCTCAACTCGCCTGAACATCGTTTCTGGATGGGCTGGTAGGGATACGCGAAGCGTCTAGAATTTCAGTTTCCCCTCTCGTACATGAGGCAGACCTGCGAGTCTACGTCGAAATGTGTCGCGTCTGCGTCCTCCTCACAGATCGAGCGAGGCAACCACGCGAGAAAGTGAAACGGCCAGACGGCCGGCAGAGGAGGGCCTCCATTGGGGCCCTCGCCAGCGCCGTGGGCCTGGCCGACGGCCAGGGCTACCGCACTCAGTAGGTGTAGCCCTTGACGTACATGCCCTCAGCAGCGGTGGCGTCCTCGTCGGCCGTGGCGGCGTCATACTCGCCCTTCTGGGCCTTGGAGTTGGCCCCCGCGCGCTGGAACAGCTTGGACTGCGCGGCCACGATGTTCTCGTCCTTGCCGGCCCAGGTCTTCAGCGTGGTGTTCTGGAGCGCGCGGGCGTACGAGAAGGAGACGTGCCACGGGTTCGAGCTCTGGTTCATCGCATTGAGGTTCTCCGTCGCCTGGATCTCGGACTGGCCGCCCGAGAGGAAGAAGATGCCTGGCACAGCCGGCGGCACCACACGCCTCAGCGCGCCGAGGGTGTACTCTGCCACGGTCTTCGGGTCCGCCGTCTTGCCAGACTGCGCGCCATGAGTCACCATGGACGGCTTCAGGTAGACCGCCTCCAGGCACACGCCGAAGTCGGCGCAGGCCTTGAAGACCGCCGCCCAGGTCTCCTCGAACGTCTCCAGGCACTCGTCGATATCGTGCTCGCCGTCGAGCAGGATCTCGGGCTCGATGATAGGCACCAGGCCAGAGGACTGGCAAATGCTGGCGTAGCGAGCGAGACCATGGGCGGCCTCCGCCACCGCGATCGAGGAGTGGTCGCGCACGCGCACTGTGGTGCGCCACTTCGCGAAGCGCGCGCCCGCCTTGTAGTAGTCGACGGTGCGCTCCTTGAGGTCGTCCAGGCCGCGGCACCAGTTCTCGCCCTCCTTCCCTCCTGTGAGGGGCACCAGGCCGGTGTCCACCTTGATGCCAGGGATCACGCCGTTCTCCTTGGCGAGGTCCACCATCTTCTTGCCGTCCGTGGTGTCCTGGTAGAGGGTCTCCGTGAACAAGATGGCACCGCCGCAGAAGTCGCCGAGACCCTTGGTGCCGAGCAGCGTCTGGCGCCAGCGCTGGCGGTTCAGCTCGGTGTTCTCCACGCCGATGGACTCCAAGCGCAGGCCGCAGGTCCCGTTCGACTCGTCCATCGCGAGGATGCCCTTGCCAGGCGCGGTCATGGCCTTCACGGTCGCCAGGAGCTCATCCTTGTACTCGGCGCAGTGCGACCAGGGGTCCGAGGACGTGCCGACCTTCATGGACACCACGCGTTTGCCCTTCTTCGCCCTGCGGGCGCCGGCGCGCGCCATGGCGGCGGTGCCGACTGCCACCGCCGCCAGGCCAGAGAGCGTCGAAGCCGCGGAGGAGCCTGCAGCGGAAGGCGCAGAGGCACTGGGGGTCTCCAGCAGGACGGCGCCACGCAGGGCCGCCTGGGGCAGCGCCGGAGGCTGCGCTGCGGCGACGAAGGCCGGGGAGGCGAAGGCGACACCGTCCATGCTGCCAAAGGAACCTGTGCCAGGGTAGGGCTGCTGTCGAGCGTAAAGAGACGAGGAAAAATGCTTGAGCCAAAACGGCTGTAGGCGTGCGATGAGTCAGGCACGACCAGCAACAATCACTAAGAGCCCAGGACCCAAGAACTAATGTATGCGGCACGTTCGTGCCGCCATACCCCCAGACTGTACCTCGTCATATCAGTTCCCATCCCGAGACTCCTGACGCGGTGTTCTGATGAGAAGGCGGACGAGGCGAAGAGAGAGGAGGCCGAAGAGCTGCAAGCACAGCACCCCCCTAGCATTCAAAGATCGGACACTGGACATACAGCCTCCGACGCGCATGCGACAAAGGGCGAGCAAGGCCCTGATCCCCAAGACAACCGAGCAGGATCCCCGGAACCGACAAATCTGCAAAGACGGACCAGGCCTCCAGGCCTCCACATAGTTTTTGCCTCTGCGCTATCCACCATACGCACTCGAGAAGTTTGTCAGCTTCCCCTCTCGTGCATGAGGCAGACCTGCGAGCCTACGTCGAAATGTGTCGCGTCTGCGGCCTCCTCACAGATCAAACGCGGCGACCACGCGAGAAAGTGAAACGGCCAGACGGCCGGCAGAGGAGGGCCTCCATTGGGGCCCTCGCCGGCGCCCTGGGCCTGGCCGACGGCCAGGGCTACCGCACTCAGTAGGTGTAGCCCTTGACGTACATGCCCTCAGCAGCGGTGGCGTCCTCGTCGGCCGTAGCGGCGTCATACTCGCCCTTCTGGGCCTTGGAGTTGGCCCCCGCGCGCTGGAACAGCTTGGACTGCGCGGCCACAATGTTCTCGTCCTTGCCGGCCCAGGTCTTCAGGTTGTCTGGAGCGCGCGGGCGTACGAGAAGGAGACGTGCGTGCACGGGTTCGAGCTCTGGTTCATCGCATTGAGGTTCTCCGTCGCCTGGATCTCGGACTGGCCGCCCGAGAGGAAGAAGATGCCTGGCACAGCCGGCGGCACCACACGCTTCAGCGCGCCGAGGGTGTACTCTGCCACGGTCTTCGGGTCCGCCGTCTTGCCAGACTGCGCGCCATGAGTCACCATGGACGGCTTCAGGTAGACCGCCTCCAGACACACGCCGAAGTCGGCGCAGGCCTTGAAGACCGCCGCCCAGGTCTCCTCGAACGTCTCCAGGCACTCGTCGATGTCGTGCTCGCCGTCGAGCAGGATCTCGGGCTCGATGATAGGCACCAGGCCAGAGGACTGGCAGATGCTGGCGTAGCGCGCGAGACCATGGGCGGCCTCCGCCACCGCGATCGAGGAGTGGTCGCGCACGCGCACTGTGGTGCGCCACTTCGCGAAGCGCGCGCCCGCCTTGTAGTAGTCGACGGTGCGCTCCTTGAGGTCGTCCAGGCCGCGGCACCAGTTCTCGCCCTCCTTCCCTCCTGTGAGGGGCACCAGGCCGGTGTCCACCTTGATGCCAGGGATCACGCCGTTCTCCTTGGCGAGGTCCACCATCTTCTTGCCGTCCGTGGTGTCCTGGTAGAGGGTCTCCGTGAACAAGATGGCACCGCCGCAGAAGTCGCCGAGACCCTTGGTGCCGAGCAGCGTCTGGCGCCAGCGCTGGCGGTTCAGCTCGGTGTTCTCCACGCCGATGGACTCCAAGCGCAGGCCGCAGGTCCCGTTCGACTCGTCCATCGCGAGGATGCCCTTGCCAGGCGCGGTCATGGCCTTCACGGTCGCCAGGAGCTCATCCTTGTACTCGGCGCAGTGCGACCAGGGGTCCGAGGACGTGCCGACCTTCATGGACACCACGCGTTTGCCCTTCTTCGCCCTGCGGGCGCCGGCGCGCGCCATGGCGGCGGTGCCGACTGCCACCGCCGCCAGGCCAGAGAGCGTCGAAGCCGCGGAGGAGCCCGCAGCGGAAGGCGCAGAGGCACTGGGGGTCTCCAGCAGGACGGCGCCACGCAGGGCTGCCTGGGGCAGCGCCGGAGGCTGCGCTGCGGCGACGAAGGCCGGGGAGGCGAAGGCGACACCGTCCATGCTGCCAAAGGAACCTGTGCCAGGGTAGGGCTGCTGTCGAGCGTAAAGAGACGAGGAAAAATGCTTGAGCCACAACGGCTGTAGGCGTGCGATGAGTCAGGCACGACCAGCAACAATCACCAAGGGCCCAGGACCCAAGAACTAATGTATGCTGCGGCACGTTCGTGCCGCTATACCCCCAGACTGTACCTCGTCATATCAGTTCCCATCCCGAGACTCCTGACGCGGTGTTCTGATGAGAAGGCGGACGAGGAGAAGAGAGAGGAGGCCGAAGAGCTGCAATCACAGCACCCCCCCGCATTCAAAGATCGGGCACTGGACATACAGCCTCCGACGCGCATGCGACAAAGGGCGAGCAAGGCCCTGATCCCCAAGACAACCGAGCAGGATCCCCGGAACCGACAAATCTGCAAAGACGGACCAGGCCTCCAGGCCTCCACATAGTTTTTGCCTCTGCGCTATCCACCATACGCACTCGAGAAGTTTGTCAGCTTCCCCTCTCGTGCATGAGGCAGACCTGCGAGCCTACGTCGAAATGTGTCGCGTCTGTGGCCTCCTCACAGATCAAACGCGGCGACCACGCGAGAAAGTGAAACGGCCAGACGGCCGGCAGAGGAGGGCCTCCATTGGGGCCCTCGCCGGCGCCCTGGGCCTGGCCGACGGCCAGGGCTACCGCACTCAGTAGGTGTAGCCCTTGACGTACATGCCCTCAGCAGCGGTGGCGTCCTCGTCGGCCGTGGCGGCGTCATACTCGCCCTTCTGGGCCTTGGAGTTGGCCCCCGCGCGCTGGAACAGCTTGGACTGCGCGGCCACAATGTTCTCGTCCTTGCCGGCCCAGGTCTTCAGCGTGGTGTTCTGGAGCGCGCGGGCGTACGAGAAGGAGACGTGCCACGGGTTCGAGCTCTGGTTCATCGCATTGAGGTTCTCCGTCGCCTGGATCTCGGACTGGCCGCCCGAGAGGAAGAAGATGCCCGGCACAGCCGGCGGCACCACACGCTTCAGCGCGCCGAGGGTGTACTCTGCCACGGTCTTCGGGTCCGCCGTCTTGCCAGACTGCGCGCCATGAGTCACCATGGACGGCTTCAGGTAGACCGCCTCCAGACACACGCCGAAGTCGGCGCAGGCCTTGAAGACCGCCGCCCAGGTCTCCTCGAACGTTTCCAGGCACTCGTCGATGTCGTGCTCGCCGTCGAGCAGGATCTCGGGCTCGATGATAGGCACCAGGCCAGAGGACTGGCAGATGCTGGCGTAGCGCGCGAGACCATGGGCGGCCTCCGCCACCGCGATCGAGGAGTGGTCGCGCACGCGCACTGTGGTGCGCCACTTCGCGAAGCGCGCGCCCGCCTTGTAGTAATCGACGGTGCGCTCCTTGAGGTCGTCCAGGCCACGGCACCAGTTCTCGCCCTCCTTCCCTCCTGTGAGGGGCACCAGGCCGGTGTCCACCTTGATGCCAGGGATCACGCCGTTCTCCTTGGCGAGGTCCACCATCTTCTTGCCGTCCGTGGTGTCCTGGTAGAGGGTCTCCGTGAACAAGATGGCACCGCCGCAGAAGTCGCCGAGGCCCTTGGTGCCGAGCAGCGTCTGGCGCCAGCGCTGGCGGTTCAGCTCGGTGTTCTCCACGCCGATGGACTCCAAGCGCAGGCCGCAGGTCCCGTTCGACTCGTCCATCGCGAGGATGCCCTTGCCAGGCGCGGTCATGGCCTTCACGGTCGCCAGGAGCTCATCCTTGTACTCGGCGCAGTGCGACCAGGGGTCCGAGGACGTGCCGACCTTCATGGACACCACGCGCTTGCCCTTCTTCGCCCTGCGGGCGCCGGCGCGCGCCATGGCGGCGGTGCCGACTGCCACCGCCGCCAGGCCAGAGAGCGTCGAAGCCGCGGAGGAGCCCGCAGCGGAAGGCGCAGAGGCACTGGGGGTCTCCAGCAGGACGGCGCCACGCAGGGCCGCCTGGGGCAGCGCCGGAGGCTGCGCTGCGGCGACGAAGGCCGGGGAGGCGAAGGCGACACCGTCCATGCTGCCAAAGGAACCTGTGCCAGGGTAGGGCTGCTGTGGAGCGCAAAGAGACGAGGAAAAATGCTTGAGCCACAACGGCTGTAGGCGTGCGATGAGTCAGGCACGACCAGCAACAATCACCCAGGGCCGAGGACCCAAGAACTAATGTATGCGGCACGTTCGTGCCGCCATACCCCCAGACTGTACCTCGTCATATCAGTTCCCATCCCGAGACTCCTGACGCAGTGTTCTGATGAGAAGGCGGATGAGGAGAAGAGAGAGGAGTGGGAGGCATAGAGATTGACACCAACACCAATTTCGGCGGTGTGCCTCCACCAGGGGGAAGAAGATCCAGATCTCGGTGATGGTGGTAATATTCTGGCTTCCAAGGTGGCCGAACTATTATCACCAACACCGAAAATCTAGGATCATCTTTCCCCTGTGGAGGCAACCCTCTATCTTGGTGTTGGTGCCAATTTCCAGGCCTCCGAAGGAGGCCGAAGAGCTGCAAGCGCAGCACCCCCCTAGCATTCAAAGATCGGACACTGGACATACAGCCTCCGACGCGCATGCGACAAAGGGCGAGCAAGGCCCTGATCCCCAAGACAACCGAGCAGGATCCCAGGGATCCGACAAATCTGCAAAGACGGACCAGGCCTCCAGGCCTCCACATAGTTTTTGCCTCTGCGCTATCCACCATACGCACTCGAGAAGTTTGTCAGCTTCCCCTCTCGTGCATGAGGCAGACCTGCGAGCCTACGTCGAAATGTGTCGCGTCTGTGGCCTCCTCACAGATCGAGCGCGGCAACCACGCGAGAAAGTGAAACGGCCAGACGGCCGGCAGAGGAGGGCCTCCATTGGGGCCCTCGCCGGCGTCCTGGGCCTGGCCGACGGCCAGGGCTACCGCACTCAGTAGGTGTAGCCCTTGACGTACATGCCCTCAGCAGCGGTGGCGTCCTCGTCGGCCGTGGCGGCGTCATACTCGCCCTTCTGGGCCTTGGAGTTGGCCCCTGCGCGTTGGAACAGCTTGGACTGCGCGGCCACAATGTTCTCGTCCTTGCCGGCCCAGGTCTTCAGCGTGGTGTTCTGGAGCGCGCGGGCGTACGAGAAGGAGACGTGCCACGGGTTCGAGCTCTGGTTCATCGCATTGAGGTTCTCCGTCGCCTGGATCTCGGACTGGCCGCCCGAGAGGAAGAAGATGCCCGGCACAGCCGGCGGCACCACACGCTTCAGCGCGCCGAGGGTGTACTCTGCCACGGTCTTCGGGTCCGCCGTCTTGCCAGACTGCGCGCCATGAGTCACCATGGACGGCTTCAGGTAGACCGCCTCCAGACACACGCCGAAGTCGGCGCAGGCCTTGAAGACCGCCGCCCAGGTCTCCTCGAACGTTTCCAGGCACTCGTCGATGTCGTGCTCGCCGTCGAGCAGGATCTCGGGCTCGATGATAGGCACCAGGCCAGAGGACTGGCAGATGCTGGCGTAGCGCGCGAGACCATGGGCGGCCTCCGCCACCGCGATCGAGGAGTGGTCGCGCACGCGCACTGTGGTGCGCCACTTCGCGAAGCGCGCGCCCGCCTTGTAGTAGTCGACGGTGCGCTCCTTGAGGTCGTCCAGGCCACGGCACCAGTTCTCGCCCTCCTTCCCTCCTGTGAGGGGCACCAGGCCGGTGTCCACCTTGATGCCAGGGATCACGCCGTTCTCCTTCGCGAGGTCCACCATCTTCTTGCCGTCCGTGGTGTCCTGGTAGAGGGTCTCCGTGAACAAGATGGCACCGCCGCAGAAGTCGCCGAGGCCCTTGGTGCCGAGCAGCGTCTGGCGCCAGCGCTGGCGGTTCAGCTCGGTGTTCTCCACGCCGATGGACTCCAAGCGCAGGCCGCAGGTCCCGTTCGACTCGTCCATCGCGAGGATGCCCTTGCCAGGCGCGGTCATGGCCTTCACGGTCGCCAGAAGCTCATCCTTGTACTCGGCGCAGTGCGACCAGGGGTCCGAGGACGTGCCGACCTTCATGGACACCACGCGCTTGCCCTTCTTCGCCCTGCGGGCGCCGGCGCGCGCCATGGCGGCGGTGCCGACTACCACCGCCGCCAGGCCAGAGAGCGTCGAAGCCGCGGAGGAGCCCGCAGCGGAAGGCGCAGAGGCACTGGGGGTCTCCAGCAGGACGGCGCCACGCAGGGCCGCCTGGGGCAGCGCCGGAGGCTGCGCTGCGGCGACGAAGGCCGGGGAAGCGAAGGCGACACCGTCCATGCTGCCAAAGGAACGTGTGCCAGGGTAGGGCTGCTGTCGAGCGAAAGAGACGAGGAAAAATGCTTGAGCCACAACGGCTGTAGGCGTGCGATGAGTCAGAGGTCTGTGGCCCAGGAGCACGACCAGCAACAATCACCAAGAGCCCAGGAATCAAGAACTGAACAACTCGAATCGAGCGAGAGAAGGTTGGGAGTTATACGGCACGTTCGTGCCGCCATACCCCCAGACTGTACATTCACATATCAGACCCCATCCCGAAACTCCTGACGCGGTGTTCTGATGAGGAGAAGGAGGACGAGGAGAAGAGAGAGGAGGCCGAGGAGCTGCAAACACAGCAGCACCCTAGCCGTCAAAGATCGGACACTGGACCTATAGCCTCCGACGCGCATGCGACAAAGGGCGAGCAAGGCCCTGATCCCCAATACAACCGAGCAGAATCCACGGAACCGACAAATCTGCAAAGGCGGACTAGGCCTCCACACGGTTTTTGCCTCTGCGCTACCCACCAGTGGACCACACGCACTCGGGAAGGTGGTCAGCTTCCCTCGTGCATGAGGCAGACCTGCGAAAACACGTCGAACTGTGCCAGGGTAGGGCTGCTGTCGAGCGCAAAGAGACGAGAACAAATGTTTTAGCCAAACAGAAGCAACGGAACTTCGCCAGAACACTGCGAAGCAAGCAGCAGTCGTTGGGAGGTATGAATCTACCTGTACCCCTCTCCCCGCTCCCTGCTCTTTCACTCTTTCCTGCTGCCTTATTCAATGCCTCCTCCTCCTCCTCCTCCTGCTCCCAACTCCTCCTGCTCCTCCTCTCCTCCTCCTCCTCCTCCTCCTCCTCCTCCTCCTCCTCCTCCTCCTCCTCCTCCTTGTCCTCCTCCTCATCCTCCTGCTCCTCCTCCTCCTCCTCCTCCTCCCCTCCTCTCCTCCTCCTCTCCTCCTCCTCCTGCTCCACCTTCCCCTCCTCCTCCTCCTCCTCCTCCTCCTCCTCCTCCCCTCCATCTTCCTCCTCCTCCTCCTCCTCCTCCTCTCTTCTTCTTAACAGTCTTCTTCTTCTTCTTCTTCTGCGTCTTCCTCTTCCTCCTCCTCCCTCCTCCTCCTCCTCCTCCTCCTCCTCCTCCTCCTCCTCCTCCTCCTCCTCCTCCTCCTCCTCCTCCTGCTCCTCCACCTCCTCCTCCTCCTGCTACTCCCCTTCCTCCCCCATCCTACTGCTCATCCCTCCCTCCTTCCCTTCCCTCGTCACGTCCCGCGCCCGCCCGTCCCGCGCTGGAGCAGCCCGACCGGCGGCAGCGTGGCAGGACCAGTCGGCATCGCAGTGGAGCTAAGTCGGGCGTGTCCATCTACAGTCAAATCGGGCCTGTCCTCCCACAGGGGGATTTTAGGTGAAACATTCAAAATAACCAAACAACATACCCCAACATGGCCAACAAAAAAAATCAAAAAATCGTCCCCATACTATATTTCAGCTATGTGTGAACATTCCTCCTGTAGAGAGACAGGCCCGACTTAACTCTACAGGAGGGATAGTCAAAATAGTTAGTCAGAGGACCATTCGTTGACTATTCTTGGGGTATTTATATTTTTCGTCCAAGATCCGCCTGCAGGGGGACAGGCCCGACCTAACAGTGGGGGAGGTGGGGCACAATCGATCGGGCCGCAGCGATAGGGAACCGAAATCGCAGCCGTGCACAGCAGCGCCGTGCACGCACCAGGTCGCCATCGATGAAGGGGAACTGGGACACACAAATAAATACACACAAATAAAAGGACTCCCCCACTTCCCATATCTTCCCATATTTTCCTGGGGATCGACGAATCATTGTGTCTGTGTGTTTCTTTCCCTCCCGAATCGGGCCGTCGGAGCCTCGGAGTCGAGTCGCATCGGGCAAGCCAGAATCGACGTCGAACCGGAGCGGTCGGATCAAAACGGATCCCGGGCGGAGGGCGCGCCTCATCCCGAACGTGAACGTGAAGGGGCGTCCGTCCACCTCCAGCCTCCGCGCGTAGTGGTCCTGGGCTGGGCGAAGGGGGGAGGACCCCATGGAGCTGCCGCTTCGTGCAGGACGAGAGAGAGAGAGGAGCGAGACAGAGCGAGCGCCGATGCCGCTCCGCGCGTGCGCAAGGAGCGCCTCCTCATGAGGCTGGCGGCGGGGCCGTGGCCCCTCAAAGTCCACAGCCCAGCGTTTTCTATGTCCGTGTGGGGGTCGTGGGAGGGAGGGAGGGGAAGAGGGAGGGAGAAAGAGAGAGAGAGAGAGAGAGAGAGAGCGAGAAAGAGAGAGAGGGAGAGAGAACGAGAATAAGAGAGCGAGACAGAGAGCGAGAAAGAAGAGAAGAGGGAGGAGGGAGAGAGAGAGAGAGAGGAGGGAGCAATAAAGACATACAGAGACAAGCGATATAAGTAAACTTCACAAACGACAACGACAATCATTTTGAGACAGCTCGCTCTCCATTGCCCGCGTGCCACGCAACAATGCCCGCGTGCCACGCAACAAAATCAGCCCGAACCGTCCACTCTCGCCCTGTCCGTTCGTGAGCGTACCCCCCTGGGGGGGGCTTCTTCAGCATGCCACCCACTCCTCTGCAAACCCAGATGGGGTAAAATACCGTCGGGGCGTTGACCTAAGGACCCTAAATAAGGAACGAGGCCCCTTTTTCCCATAAGTTAAATTTCGATCTCCCATAGAAAACCCAACGCAAACTGTAAACCAATCAAGGAACACCGAGCCCCTCGCCAACGAGAAGGGTTCCTTCTTCAGCGCCCCGACTGTAGTCGCGTCGGGCGAGGACGGGACCCAACGTGCAGTTCGGGCGGGCGGGACGTTAAAGACGGGCGGCTTCTGGCTTCCGAGCAGTCGGCCCAACGGATCGTGACGGGCCGGGTGGCGGACGCTCCTGGGCAGGCCTGGGCGCCGGCCGGACCCAAAGTGGCGGGCTGGTCCGTCTGGCCCCAACGAGCGGGCCAAGCGGGCGGACCCTGTCGGGCGGGTCAGGCGGGTCTTCGTCGTCGTCGTCGTCGGTCGTCGGTCGTCGGTCGTCGGTCGTCGTCGTCGTCGTCGTCGTCGTCGTCGTCGGTCGTCGTCGTCATCATCGTCGTCGTCATCCGTCGTTGTCGTCGTCGTCGTCATCGTCGTCATCGCCGTCGTCGTCGTGGTGGTCGTCGTCGCGGCTATCGTCGTCGTCGTCGTCGTCGTCGCAGGCAGCGCCCCAGGCAGCGCCGCGAGCAGCGCCGCATGCGGGTGGGACACTGAATGGCTGTATTTTGCGAGGGTGTCTCAGGCGAGACCGCGATTCCCGAGCATGTTGCGAGGAAGTCTTACGCGAGCACAAGAGTTGAGACCGGCGAGAGCACAATTCTTGAACAAGGCAGATAACAGTAGGTAGGCGAGAGCACGAGCCGATCCGACGTGCGAGTTTGATGGCTCTGCCGGGAAAGGGCAGGGGGGGGGACTCTATTGTTTCTGAGGCCGAGGCAAATGCCGGGGCCTAGGCCGGGGCTGGGGCCGGGGCCAGGGCCGGGGCCAGAGCCTGGGCCGGGGCGGGGGACGGGGGCCGGGGCCAGGGCCAGGCTGGGGCTAGGCTGGCCGCGGCAGGGGCCGGCGGGGCTGGGGCCTGCAGCAACGACCCACCAACGAGCCAACCCATCAGTGAACTGGCCCGCCATCAAACTCGACGGACGGACACGACGCAACCACTCTATTCAACACATCTCCCTAAGGCGACTGCCAACACCCTCCTTCCCCTCCGCCGCCTCCTCCTGTATTTTTTCGACTCCTCCTCCTCCTCTTCCTCCTCCTCGTCCTCCTCCTCCTCCTCCTCCCTTCCTCCTCATCCTTCCTCCTGCCCTCTCGACATAAATCTGTTAAACTATCAAACATGACGACGAGTTCGCGCGAAGCGTCCCGGAGCGTCCTGGATCGGCAGCGGCCTCTACAAGAAAGTATGTAACATACTAGGCAGGCGAGAGAGCGGTTCTTGAACACGTTGCAAAAGAGGTCTCCAGCGACAGCGCGATTCCTGGCTGGATTGACGGAGCTCCAAGCGAAGAATCGAGACCCAACTAGCGGGAGCGCGATTCCTGCCGAGATTCCGTGGAAATCCCAGGCGCAAGTGCGATTCATGAGAGAATTGCAGGGCCCCCTGGGCTCCAGCGCATCCTGTCGCATGACATTTCGGGGCCCGAGAGGCCCCCAGGACGGGCCAAGAGTTCCCCACGAGGCCCCAAAGACGGTCCAAGTGGGCCCCGAGATGCCCAACGACCGCACCAAGACGCCCAAGATGGCCCCAAAACGCCCCAAGAGGCCCCCAAGAGGCCTCCCGAAAAAGCCCCACGAGGCACTAAGGTTTTTGAAGGACCTCGCCTGTTCGGCTCCCCGACGCTCCAAGACGGCCCACGAAGCCCCAAGAGGGCTCAAGAGGGAGGAGGAGGAGGAGGAGGAGGAGGAGGAGGAGGAGGAGGAGGAGGGGGAGGAGGGGGAGGTGGAGGAGGAGGAGGAGCCCAAGAGGGCCCACAGGCAGACCCGCGAGGGCCCAGAGGCGGCCCCGAGAGCGGGCCCGGATGGGAGCCCGAACGGACAGTTCGATCCCTCGACCCCGCGGGGTCCCCAGGAGGCCCAAGGGGGCCCCCTAAGCGGCCTTCAAGAGGCCCCGAGAAGCCCCCCAAAGGCCCCAAGAGGCCCCCAAGAGGCCCCCAAGAGGCTCCCAAGAGTCCCCAAAAACTGCTCCCAAACTGTCCCCGAGAGCGCTCCGAGGAGACCCGACGAAGCATCCCTGGGAACTCTGCCCCACAACCCAGGCACAGCTGCGGGATGCCATTCGACAGAGCCTGACTGGCCAACATGTCTGCCTGGTAACAAGTCCTGATTGGAGGGCCCCCCAGTTCTGGATGCTCCAAGCAACGTTCAGAACAGGCACGCACACGGCATGACTGCGACTAGTCTCCTGCGCGACTCTAGAAACATGATGCCCCATGTCGCCTTACCACCATGCAACCAATACGAGCGACTGGGAGGGGAGGCCCCGTCTGTCAGGAACAACTACCTGCATGAATTGTATGGCAACGTTCACCGTAGAACTGTACGGCGAGGGGGCGGGTGAGCACAGCATGTCCGATCATATCCCTGCGGGCTCTAAACGTGCCTGCCTGCGCATAGAAATGTCCCTGACGGTATTGGCGTAGAACGTCTGCGAAAAAGGCAGATTGGTCGCCCGATGTCCTCCCCTATGCGAACCTCGTCGAGGGTGTCCACCTTGTTGAACCTGCTATGCTCCCCACCCTACGATGCCACCGCTTATCAAACTCCACCAAACCGCCATCGCAAGCACTGCAGTATTCCTGCATGTGTGCGCGTGCCATTGCACTGCATGATTGCATTCGAAATCGTAGTCCCACAGCGCAACCTGTGGCCAATCAACACAACAACCACCACCACTACAATAACGGCGGTCCACATCGACACTCGAACTATAAGCTTCAGCATTACATGTAGCACTGAGTCCAGTGCTCGTGCAGTCTGCCGTGCCACAAGCCTGCACTTCTCCATCCCAAGCACCGAAACAAAGCGACATGGAAACATGAGAAAGAACCCCAATAAGAAAGAATACGGCGGATGCAGCATCACCGTCTGCGCGCCGCTTTTTGTAATCCTGCACTTGTTGTGCTAGGCGCATTGAGCACTGCAAATGCATAGGACGCACTGTCCGCTGACACCGTGTGCTTTCTGGAAGCGTGTCGGAATACTTGAAGACTGCACTGGGCATACTCTCGTTCGAGAAAAATGCGCGTTTCTTTATTTTCGGCGATAGTGGGCACTATAGGGGAGGGGGGGGGGGGCCAGGAGGGGTATAATGTAACGCCTCCCCCCCCGCCTTGCGCACGGCGGCAGTACCCGGAGCGCACTGGTGGGGGAGGGGCGTTCCGTTCTAGGGGAGGGGGGGAAGGGGGGACCGGGGGCTATAATGCCCATTGTGCCTCAAGCAATAAGGAAACACGCTCAAAACGGGAGGAGCGGGAAAGGCCAGGCAACCGAGTCGACTGTGACAACGGCAATGCGTACCTGAGTTCCTCGGGGTGTGCGTGCGCGACCGGCAGGACCAGTAGGCCAACGAAGGGTTTTAATCGCAGTACAGTAGGAGCTCGACCACAAGAAGCCTTCCACAAGAAACCCAACCCTGAGACCCCAGGACGCCCAATGATGGCTGCTGTGGGCAGGTCACGCTGTCCATAGCAAAGCCACCGAAACCCAAGAAACCCAGGGCACTCTGGAGGCAAGCAGGGTGTTTATTGGCATGGGTCTCCACTGTAGCCAGGAGATGCCCCAGGCAAATGCTCAAGTCATTCTTTTTGGCTTCGCGTGCCAGTCAGTGCACCGATCAAAAGGCTTCGCATCCTATCAACTCCCTCGAAGGAAAGGAGTGATACTTGGAGGGTGAACTGACTTGGGAAATGTGAGACTGACGAATTTCGCAAATGGGCTGCACGGCCCCTGCGACGCTTCGAGGGGAGAACCCGCGAAGCCTGCAGTAAAACCAACCGATCCTGTGGCATTCGCACCTGGCGCCAGAGCCGACCTCTTGCTGACCACAGTGAGCAAGGCAAACAGCACCAGCCGTAACCTGCGCATCCATAGGCAAAGAAAGAAACCCTGTCGCCTACAAAGGAGAAACGACCCTGAATTCGCCGGTGCCGCAGCAAAGCACTGACCTATTCAACTCGATACCGCCTTATGGTACCTGCCTCCTGCCGTACACAACACACACTCATTACCGTATTCCCATCATACCCGTCTGTTCTGTTGCACACAACATCGGCAAACGACAGCGGGATGGCGAATTGGACGCCAATGCTTTCATTCGCTGACCACGGTAGTCGCAATCGGTCCAGGTACCCACATCCACTTCACACATTCCGAACGGCGCGATTCGATATTGGAAGTTGGGGGCATGAACACATCTGCAAGGCCACCCGCGCAAAGAAAGCACGTCTTGTGTGTTTCGCTTCCGCAGGACGCGCGTGCAAAAGCAAGCACGATGCAGACCCATGTAGGGCGCGGGCAGCTGGAAATCTATGCAGTATTGTGTTCCCGCCTCACATTCGTCCTACTCCTCAACCTCCTCCTATTCAAGCAAGACCCAAGTCAGACGAAGACGTCATCGGGCACCTGCCACAGAGCACCACCCATGCGGCACCAGGGCAAAACTAAGAGGCATCAACCAACAGAGAAATCATGGTGGCACCAGCCATGGAGCACCACAAATAGAGCACCATGGCACGAACACAGAATTCGAAACCATCATTTCCGATTGCTCTCCAACCTGGCAAGGCACTCTAGGGCAAATACTGCTTCGGGGAACGATCAGCACGCACAAGGCAAGACAAGCTGAACCAGTCAAACCAGACTCAGTCACGGCATGCTAGGCTGTGCAACAAAAAATGTTCTGGAATGCGCAAGATGGGCAGCGACATCCCAATGTGACCTCCCATCGGCCCCAAGCTGGCGCACTAGGCATCAATCGCACTGCCGCAGGCGTCCTGGAAGTCATTGAAGCGCGCGACGTCCCTGGGAAGGTGTGGCTTTCGCCCGCGAGAGCAGGGAGAGAGGCAGACCGGCTGGAGGGGGCCTGGCCCAGCAACTCACTAGGGGGGGGGGATGGGGGGGTAGGGTGCGAAGGGAGCTAGCCACAATAGGCAACTGCATGTAAACCCTGCCCTGTCCAGGCGGAGGGTGGCCTAAGGCGATTCCTCCTCCACCCCCCCTTCCTTCTCGGGGAGGGGGGATCGACCCCTCGCCGTATCCCATCCTCTGGGTCTGGACGAAAAGGGTGGCGTCGCGACCCGTCAGTGCCCGGGATGGTCCAAGGTGACTCCAAGATGGCTTCGGATAGCTCAAGATGGCCACCAAGATGGCGGAAGATGCCCCCAGGTCGCTCAAGGTAGCTTCCAGCATGCCTCCACCCGAGACTCCGCCCCCCCCCGAGACGGCTTCAAGTTGCCACGGAGTGTCCCAAGGAGACTCCCGAAATGCCAAAATCCTTCCAAAGCCAAAGGCGCGCTTCACACGGGCGTTTGATACTCCAAGATTGGCTCCAAAGGGCCCCAGCAAGCTGGAAAGATGGACCCATGAGGGCCTCAGGACGGCCATCAGGGTGTCGAAGCTCCCCAAGGGGACCCCACGAGGCGATTCCTTCTCTGGCTCAGAAGGCGCGGGCAGGGCTACTTATTGCAGATTTCGTAATAAAGGGAGGGGGGTCTCATTTCGGGGGGGGTCTCTTCCAGGCTATCTTGGAGGGCCTGGGGGGGTCTGGGGACGAGGTTTTGGAGGGTTCTCCCACGGGGGGGGGGTCTGACATGGCTTGTCTTGGAGGGTCCACACCCCCTCCCTTTTATTGCGAAATCTGGAGTACTGAGGATCCCCCCCTTCTTTGATCGATCTCCTCACAAGGTGGCCCCAGGAAGGCCCACAGGGTTCCCGCGAGGGCCCCGAGAGAAGGCCCGAAGAGAGCCCCGCGGCTCCCGCGAGAGCTCCACGGAGGCCCCGATACTGCCACGCGAGAGGCGTGCAAGAAGCTCCGACGGCGAAAGATCCGCAGAGGTCTTCATCGTCGAAGTCGTCCTCCTCCTCCTCCTCCTCCTCCTCCTCCTCCTCCTCCTCCTCCCCCTCGAACCCCTCGTACTCATTTATGTCGTAGTCGTCGCCCCCTTCCTCCTCCAATCTCCTCCAGTCTCCTCCTCCTCCTCCTCCTCCTATTGCTCCTCTACCTCGTCCTCCTCCTCCTCCTACTCTTGCTCCTCCTCCTCCTCCTGCTGCTGCTGCTGATGGCTCTGGTGTCTGTAACATCCTCCTCCTTTTCCTCCTCCTCCTCTTTTTCCTCCTCCTCCTCCTCCTCCTCCTCCTCCTCCTCCTCCCCATGATCATCCTCCTCCCTCCTTCACGTCCTCCTTCTCACCTTTCTCGTCAGCACCTTCCGTTTGCTTCTTCGAATGCAGGCTCAACAATTTCACTCATGGGTCTACTCAGGCTGATTGCGAGGTTGGGCTTGAACGTCGATTCACCTGTCTAATCACCTGGATGCTCCTACACTTCCATGATCAGGAAAACTCGCCTGGCTATCTTTTCTGGATGGACTGGCAGGTCTCAAAGTCCGAGCACGACACGGAGGGACGGCGCGCAAAAACTGCCCCTTCTGCTCCATGCCCCCTGTCTGACTCGTCTGGCTAGGCCAGCATAGGGGAGGCATCCACGCATGAACCTGGACAGCACACACATAATGTCTTCTATGCACTAAAACGATGTTAGCCAGCATGGGCCACAAACAAGGAGTTACCATGTCACTGTACAGTGGAGGTGAACGCGATGTGATGTAAGCTGTTCGGTGAGAGCTATGTGGTGTGCAAGCGGTGAAGAGAAAGCTATGTCGTGTAAGTTATGACGTGTGAGTTATGTGGTGTGGGATATCTTGTCTGAGCTAGGTTGAGTAAGCTGTGAGTTGTAGCGTGTGCTATGTGATGCCAGGCGGACCCCCAAGAGGCGGCGAGGCGGTAACGGGCGGTGACGCCTCGGCAAATTCCCGGCAACAAAGCGGCCTCAATGCGGCAGAGGGCGGAAACGTTGCGAAAACTCGCCGGACCCACCCGTCGCACGAGGCGGCAACGAGGCGGCCACGTGCACGAGGCATCAACGAGGCCGCCCCTCACGGCAGCGTGGCGAAAGCAGGCCGGGTCCGCCCAGGGCACGAGGCGGCAGTGGGGGCGGCAACGAGGCAGCGACGGGCGGCGACGCGGCGAAACCTCGAGGGACCCCCCACGCGGGCGACAACAGAGCGGCGATTGGCGGCGACGTGGCGAAACCCCGCCGGACCCATCCAAATGGGCGGCCATGGGGCGGCAACGGCTCGGCAGCGAGGCGGCAACGGGCGGCGAAGCCTCGGCGGAGCCTCTCAGGTGGGCGGCAGCGAGGAGGCTACGGGCGGCGGCACGGCGAAACCTCGACGAGCCCAACCCAAAGTGGGCGGCGGCGAGGCAGCAACGAGCTGGCAACGGGCGGCGACGCGGCGAACCCTCGTGGGATCCATCCAATTCCGATCTACAAGAAATAAGAGCCCTAAGTGGAAGCACGAGCTTGAGACATACACGACGTGCTTGGGTCAATTGAAACAAACAGCGCTAATCAATCAAAGACGGCTCGCTCATATCTGCTCGCGTGTCATTCAAAATGATGTATCTCCGAAGCCCTCGATACCCGCCCTCTTCGTCTTCGATCATGCCCCGCTCGAGGGTATACAGACACCCGAGAGGACACAGGTCTCTTCCGACGGCGACGTGGCCCCAAAACATCAAAGGACACGCGCGTTGCATAGGTCGGGATCGACGGGACACATGGGTTCCTTCGATTTGGCATGGTCGACCTGCCGATTAGGGCCGACTGCATCATCTTCCTTACCTGCCCCGCGGAATTCACGCAGCCCCTAACACAGGAGAAGGGAGGGAGGGAAGGGACAGGGGGATGGAAAAGGATGGAGCACGAGAGAGATTAGCAGGAGGGGAGGTATTAAGCAGGGGCCGATCGTCCCGACATTTCTACAGGCCTACCACGACATGTTCTTAGAACCCCAAAATGTTCGGATAACAAGAACAATGTTCTTAGAACATAAACCCGATGTGTTAAAACAAGAAAGTATCGGCCAGAAATGTTCTAAGAACATTTCGTGGAAACCACAGAAGCTTCTTGGAGCACTGTTTGGTAAGCCCATAGGCACGCCAAAACGCTTCGCCACCGCTTGAAGGTAGGAACAGAAAGCAACCGGCAGAACCAGACGTGCGGGTCGGACGGGCGGACCATCACGGGCGGGTCGGGCGGGCGGGCCCAGAAGGCCAGGTCGAGCGGACGGATCGCTGGAGCGTCGGTCAAGCATGAATCGCGAGGAAGTCTCGAGCTACAGGTCGACTCCCAAGCAACTCGTGAGGACGTCCACAGCGACACCATGATTCCGAAGTGTCGAAGACGCGGCGTTTCGATATATTGCCAGGAAGTCCCACGCGAGAGCACGACTCCTCATTTTGCCTACATTTTGTGGAGGTATCAGGCATGATAGGAGCGTCAGATGTCGGACGTGGTCTGGCGGAACCTCTACTTTAGTCGAAGGTAGTCTGGATTATTCTGGCCTAGCCCCATGTTCTGTTCTCCCTCTCTCTCTCTCTCTCACTCTCTCTCTCTCTCTCTCTCCCCCCCTCTCTCTCTGTACGTATGTTGTGATTGCATTCTCTCTCTCTCTCTATCTTTCTCTCTCTCTCTCTCTCTCTCTCTCTTTCTCTCCCCCCCAAGGTCGGGGCGGCGGCGCGGGCGTAACCCCGACGGCGATCGCGCGGCGGATAGGGGCGACGAAGCCACATAATCAAAGATCGGACTGAATTTGACAAATCTAAATGAAGTTGGAATAACTTTGAACTAAATAGGACTAAACCAGATTAAATTGGACTAGTCTGGACTCATCTGGATTAATTTTGGACTGTTGTGGACTGATCTGGACAAATCTGGATTGATTTTGGACTAAGCCGGACTAAATCGGACTAATCTGGACTGATTTGGAGGAATTTTGGATTTGATAAGATTAGCCTGGACGAATTTCGGACTAATACTGACTAAATTAGATTAAATCAGCGCCCAGGACACCGACGGGTGGAACGGGAGGCCTCCATCATCGTGGACCAAAACCACTGCTGTAGTAGATCGAAAATCAGCAACCTGGTCTGAGACACAAAACTTCCCTTTGCTAAAATAGGGTGCCAACTCCAGGAAAAACATGTCAATGAAAAACGTCGATGGGCACCGGAAGTGGGTTAACAACAACTACTCTTCATAAGTGAAATCTCAAAAACAAACTATAAATGTAAGGCTGTTCGTTCTTATCTGGCCACACGTCACTCAACATGTATATCCGAAATCCTCGATACCCGTCTTCTTCGTCTTCGATCGTGCCCCCCTTGGGGTAGACCTTACTCAAGTACCTGCCGTGTGTCGTTGGCACGGACCCTGAAGAGAATAATGGGAGGAGGGGGACACGGGTACGTATGGGAAAGGATGGAGCACGGGACAGATCAGCAGGAGAGGGCCGGGGTGGAAACGGAAAAACAAGCCGGCCAAACACGACGGGCGGGTCGGGCGGGCGGGCCCGAACTGGCGGGTCGGGCGGGCACGCACCAGACGGCCGGGTCGAGCGAGCGGGTTTGCTGAAGCATCACTCGTACATGGATCGCGGAACTCTCGAGCGACCTCTTGCGATTCCATGGTAAATCGCGAGAACGTCCAGAACGAGCGTTTGATTCCTGGGTGTCGAACGCGCGACGTCCCCAGAAATTGCATGGCAAAAGGCCCCTTTTATGGCGCGGCTGCATGAATAGTGGGGACGTCCGTGCGAGAGCGCGGTTTTGAATGTGTTGTGCGGAAATCCGCCGATCCGGCGTGTGAGTTTCAAAAACCCTCAGAACAGCCTGAGCCTCAATTCCTGAGTTTCAGCTCTACTGGGGGGTGGGTGCCGGGGTGGCTCTGCCGGGTAAGGGGGG